TGCCCAGCTCCAGGTTGAGCTGTTGTTCAGCATCTTAGCTGTAGAGGGCAGTGTCACTGGCCCTCATATGTGGGATCTGAACTGGGGCCCTCTGGTAGCCCAAGCCAGCTCTTAACCACCGCTCTACTCAGCCGGGCCTAACTTTCTTTTCTAAATGATGAAGGGCAGAAAAAAAATGTATTAAGTAAAATAAAAATATTCTGACCAATGGATTAAAGGATTTTAAAGAGGGTGAGGGCTAGTGTTATTATTATTATGCTATTATTTTTCTAATGTTTTGTTAGAAAAAGATGAATGAAGTCCACTGACATTTTATTAATAATATTATTAACAATAGTGCAGATGGTTTTAATGAGACTGCCACTTATTTAGTCTTTGAAGGTCTTACTTTAGGCCGGCGGGTTAAGTAAGTCAGGCAGAGAACCAAGTTGGGAGAAGGCTGGCAGAGACTGTTTAAGCGGATACCATGAACATCAGGGTTCAGAAACCACCTAAAGTCTGAGAACCAGGAAGTTCTTGGGGGCAAATATAAAAATGTCTGAGGTACCAACTGTTATGCATACAGAACAGAGGTGAAAATGAGACAGCCATGTCTCTATGGTTAAACATACAGCTGACATAATAAGTTAACGATGCCTGTGGGCTCCGTGCAGAAATGTTCTGCCCTCCTCCTCCCCTGCCATGTTGGGGCAAAGGTTCTGTGCCAGAGGCAAGGCATGCGGTGGGAAGAACACAAACTTTGAAATTAGACAGAACCAGCTCTACTTATTATTAACTCAGTAAAATTGTATACGTTATTTAACTTTTTGAACTTTAGTTTTTCCATCAGCAAAACAGGCAAATAAAATTGACTTTATGGAATTATTAGAGAACTAAATAAAATTATATATATATATATATATATATATATGTGTATACACACACACACATCTATATGTATATACCAGAAACTAGAGGAAACTCAAAATTTAGCACTCTAAATATAGCCTTCACTCATACCTAGGAAGGTAAAATTAAAATAATCTGAACCTAAATATTAAAAAATCCAGAAATATTGTAGACTACCATGAACATATACGCACATACTATATATATTGCTAGAGTGAGCCTTCAGTTGCCTAAGATACATAGGAAAAAACTATTAGCTAATTTGTACTATATTTAACATTACAATGGCAAATTGTTAACAAGCCTTTTGTTCTTGTTACTAAAGTAAATTGAAGCGTGGCCTCAGCCTTGATCATTGGTATAAATCATAGTCTTTGTGAAATTCAGAAATATACGTACAATGCCAGCAGTTTTTAAATGTACTAATAACAAAAAAGGGGATTACACTTCTTAAGTAACTAATTGCCTTTTGGAAATATGGAATGAACTCAAGCATAAGTGAATTTGCTGATTGTCCATCTCCAGCGCAGACTGCCCTCTTTCTTGGTGACATAATAATCCTAGGAAGACAGTGCCAGTTTGCCTGGGTATTAATTTTGAGCTATCCCTGGAGTAGTGCCTGTGGGCCACTTACAGGATAGAATGCAGTCTTTAATTAGGGTTAGCTCCATTTTTTTTTTCAATAACAGTACAATTTGTTGAGCAAAAGATAAATATTTATCAAATGCTTAAATAATAATTATTCCTGCAACTGATTCCTTTATCTGGGTTGATTTTTAATGAAAATAATTTCCAATATTTAACTTTTCCCTTTAACTAAAAAAAAAAAAAAGAAAGAAAGAAAAAAAGTGGTATTCTTTTGTTTGCAGTTGCTGTCTCTAAGTCTTAACAGAAACCACTGATGGGAACTCTACTCCCTTACTTTAAACCCTTTGAATCCCAAGGTTTTAGAATCCTGGAAATGTGAAATGCTCTGTCTGGTTCATGAACGTTTTGTTGGGATTTTGTGCATGAACAGACAAACAAGCAATTAAACAACAACAGCAGCACCTTGTCCTTTATGCTATAAGAATAATTTTCTGTATCGTAGACATTTTCTCCTTGAATAACCTTTTGTTTCTCTATGCAAACCTTGAAGTGCAAACGGTTTAATTGTTTTTTAACTCGTTAGTGTGCTGCTGGTCGCGCAGAAGGTTTACCCACGTGTCACAACTAATGAAGGTTTCAGAACTCTCCATAAATCTGTTCAACATCTGCTGTACACTCTGAACGCCCCAGCTCAAGGTATTATATTTTTATCTTATTGTATTCACTTCTGTGTCTCAAAGCCTGTGAAAAATATAAAACAGAGTACAATGAAGTGTAATAGTTTATGGGTGATATTATTCTTAGGTAGGGGCATATGCTATGACTAAATCTGGACATCTAGCTAATCAAAGTGTGGAGAAAGGGAGAAATGGCCGGAAAAGAGGCTGTGGCATTCCAGGGTTTTTATTTAGGTGAAATGATCTCTCTTAGCTTGTAAACCTATGTTTATACTTGGTACGGAAAATATAAAATATCAGGAAATAAGCCTCGGCAAATGGAGTTTTATCAGTAATTTTTGGAACGAAAGCCTACACTGAGTTGCAGTTCTTTTTGCCCTCATTTCCAAATTTTAGCTTTTTAAATCAGGATGAATCTTTTATTGGTAAAAATATACCCCTCAACCAGCCATCTTGAAAATGCGTGCTGGACATCAAAGCATGAATAGATCAGTATAAATCTACTGTTAATCCCAGGAAGACAAGCTATAGCATGTTACTAGTGAGTCAGACAATATCATCTTTGCATGATAGAATAGCATCATATACCACACACACATGGCAATACACAACATATGCACACAGGCACACAGAGAGATTTAAGGCTGTCAGGAATAAATCCCTCTTCCCCACGTAAAATGGGTGCTTAGCATTGACGTCTCCTGAATGAATTTAGAATTAGACTCTCTCCGCTGATTTGTTGGCTTTTAAATATGCAGGCTTTACCTTTGGATTACAAAGAAGTATCCTGAGAGCACCAGGTCACAACCTGATTGTTTATTACAAGGTCTTAAACCATTAGTTTTTATATGAAAAGCAGGTTTGAAAAGGCTTTGAAGATTTCTCACGGGAGGGTCTACCATACTTTTGGATACCAATCTCTATTAGTCCGGAGCATTTTTTTAATACCTAAAATTACAGAATTAATGACTAGCTTTCAAGATTGTTGTTAAATTTAACTGTCTTAAAGAACATTGGTGGGAAAAGGCTTCCTCTTCAAAAAAATGTCCAGGCCAGAAAACCAGACAGTGAACTAACAAACACCAGTTATTTCCTCTGTATTTTTTTTTTTTTGTATTTGCATTTTAAAGACGGGAACTCCAAGTTTCTCCTTACCATTCAAAATTTTTCTTTTCATCTTCAGACTCACACCTTGTAATTAAATAAAGTAAAGGGATAAAGCTAAAAATGTTTTTACAAATGACAAAAGCTCATCATTGCCTTAGAAGCCAGAGAAGTCAGCAGCACTTCTTATTAACTCAGGCAACTAAACATTTTTTCCTGTTGAAGAGTATAACTCAGTTTTCCAGTATTTAACAATGGCCATGTCTCATGTCTATGACTATGCTAATGATTTTGGCATGCATTAAAACATGTCATTCAATGGTCAAGAAGATAAGGTAGTAAATCACAAAAATGTGTTTTTATTTAAAAATTTGATGTGCTTAAATTTGTTTGTTAATGTCCTTCACTTGTGACTTCATCAGTCTGAGAATACCAACACAATAATATTAATGTCAATTCCTAAAAGTCATTAATCCCAATTCCCAACTTGCTTGAGTAGAAATTTTGTGGCCTTTGAAATATCCTTGTAGTTATTTCTGGAAACCCTTCAGTCAAGTCACACTTGTCCTTGGAGGCTGAACCAGTGCCTCAACAGCACAGGGGTCTCAAGCCCCAGGTACAGCCTCCTGCCACAGTGCTCAGGCCACCCTGTGCCTAATGTTCATGGCAAGGAGTATCTGTGAAGTGGATACATTGTTTTCCCCTTGGCTTTACATTCAGCTAAGCTGGAGCGGCGTGGTATCTCATAGCAGGGTTGCTTGGGTCCTCTGTAATGCATGGCAGGGTTGATATAGCTTTGAAAGTCTCACACCGCTCGTTCAAAGTAAGGCAATAAAAAAGGTAGTACTTTTTGTGTCAAGAATGACTTTGTTATCTTAAGTCCCTTTTATCATCAAAACAGTCCTATGAAATATAGTTATTATCCCACTTTACAGACAAAGAAACTGAGGCAAAGGGAAG